AGAATTGAGCTATCTTGGAACAATTATAGAATTACTACATCCAAAACCAATTCATTATCTCCTCAGTACCTTCATAATGTCCTGTGCCAACTCTATCACAGTATTTCTCACATTGTGTTGTGATTATTAATTACGCGTGTGTCTTTCCAAGAATGACCCTTAAGCCTTTATGCCGTACGTTGGACCAGCATTAGCGGCACAAATATAAAACTGCTCAGACCTTCTATGATTCTCTACATCTGATTACCAGGGTAAGTAGGCAGACTGTATGCAGGGCAGATTCCAAGAGGGCTTCCTCAGAATGAGAGCTGGCAAATGAGAGGTTGTATCTTCTATTGCTCTTGGCCAAATGTGGGTGTTATATATGTTAATGAAGACAGTGGAGATCAAGAATGGGGAAGTATCCTAGCAGGTAGCAGTTGGATTAATTTTGGAAACAGCAAGTCACATGTAGCAAGCAGGGTGAATTTAAAGGAGTCAAGATAAGATGGACAGCTTTTTTTGTTTGCTCAAATTTTCATATTGCTTTATATATTGTTTGTGAAACAGTTTCCATTATAATGCATTTATAACCAAAAATTTCAACTGATTACAGATTTGTTTTTCACTTATCGAACACATAGTTGATGATCTTGAGGGGGAAAATACATCAAAGGCACATATACATAATTATAGAAGTTCTTGTTACACATGTTGCTTGGGAGATATTTATTTATTACTTTCTTGTTTTATATTTTTCCTTCTTTTTAAGTTCTTTCTGCTTTTTTTTTTTTTCAGAGGGGGGCAACAGTAACTAGGTTTATTTATTTATTTTTATAGATGGTACTGGGAATTGAACCCAGGACCTCCTGCATGTTAAGCATGCACTCTACCACTTGAGCTATATCCTCCTCTCTATTCATTACTTTTTACATATTCTAAAAGACTTTCAATTGAAGACAAATAGATTCAAACTGGTTGATAAGCTTCTGGTGGTTGAGGTCCTTCATTTTATTTTTTGTGGTAAGAGAATACAAAATTATTAATGTTGAATTTCTCACCATACATTCATCTAAAAACACAGTAAAAAAAAAAGTGCCAAAACCTCTTGAGTTTTCTGCAGATATGGGTAATGGTCCTGAGGGATGAGACTTTGGCAGATTTCCCATCTGCATTGTTTCCCCAAGTGACAAGAACTTGAAGACAAAGCTTTGCTCTGTTCATTGGTGGTTACAAGTTACAGGACCCACTCATTTTGCCTATGTGATGTCTGGTGCCATAGGTGTGCCTTGATGACTCTATTTAAGAGGTCCCTGTGACTATTGGCCTGTGGTTGATGGGTGATGAATATGTGGATTTAGACTTGGAGTGCTCTGAAAAAAGACTCTTCAAATTTAGGGCAACAATCGTTGTCCCCATTCTGATACTCTGTGGTTAGGCTCACTCTCATAAGTAGTGCAGCAGAGCCAGCATCAGAAAACTAAGAAAATTGTCCAACACAGGTTATGAATTATCTCATTCTCATGAAAGAATTTATATGCTTAGTAACATGTAGCCCTCAGAGGGAATAGGTTAATTATGGAGCCTAACATGATAGGTTCCTGCGAAACTTAGGGGATTGGAATGGGGTGTTTCAGTGATCTACTGTGGCATAACAAAGCACTGTAATCTCAGTGATATAAATGAAAACCCATTTTATTATGCTTCTGTGAGTCAGGAATTCAGACAGAGCGAAGCAGGGATACTTGTCTCACTCAGCTCTTTGATGCTTCAGCCCTCATCTGAAAAGACTGCCATGGCTGAGGTTAACTCAGATGTCTTGGAGTTGGAGGAATCACCTGGAGGTTTCTTCACTGAAACAATCAGTCCCTGAACTGGGATAAGTCAAAGGCTGTATCCAGCTGGGACTGTTGACGGGGAGTGCTTACACGCAGCCTCTCCACGCGGTGTGGGTTTTCTCAGAGCATAATGGCCTTAGGGTAGTTCATCTTTTTACGTGGTGGCTCAGGAATCCAAGATTGAGTATTCCAGAGAACAAGGTAGAGTCAGCATGGCCTTTGCTAACCTAGCATCACTTCCGCTATAGTCCATTTGTCAAAGCAGACACAATTCAACCAGATTGAAGAGCAAGGTACTTAGACCCCGACATCTCGATGAAGGGAGAAATTGCAATTTAAAAACAGTCACAGAGGGGGAAGTGGGCGGCTAGGGATAAATTGGGAGTTCGATATTTGCATATACTAACTAATGTATACAAAATAGATAAACAATAAATTTATATTGTATAGCACAGGGAACTATATTCAATATCTTGCAGTAACTTATAGTGAAGAATACGAAAATGAATATATGTATGTTCCTATATGACTGAAGCATTACGCTGCACAACAGAAATTGACATAACATTGTAAACTGACTATACTTCAATAAAAATACATTTTTTTAAAAAAGGTCACAATGTGTACTGCCTCTTAGGATTTTCAGGATTCTTTTTGGACCAAGTTCATGTCTCATATAGATCTGTATAGTGTATAGTGAGTGCAAGGGTTTCTGTCAAATTTGAGGCTACCAGTAGTCAAGGATTAAAGGGGATTTGGTGGACTGTAGGGGTAAGTATGTGATACAAAGGACTTCAGTCCACTAAAACGTAGAGGTGGCCATGAAAGTTCAGCAGGACTCTTCTGTATTCTACCCTTCTGTAACTGGGAGTGCATGACTCGAGATCTCTTTCTGGCTCTGCTAGTTAGATGACTGCTGTCTTCCTGCTGACACACAAATATGATCCTTTTACTTCCTTGCTTACAATCCTTTTAAGGATTCCCTATTACCTCTGTGATAAAGTCCAAGGTCATTAACATTATATTAGCCTCTTCATGATCTGATCCTGACCACTGAATGGTCAGGTGCTACGCTATCAACCAATATGTGAAAAGCAATATTTATTGAATTATTGAGTTCAAATCCCATCTCTGCTGGGGCTCGTTAATTTTCTAGGGTACAAGGGAGAACCTTTCTTCCCTCAGTTGAGGGCAGTCCACAACAAAAATGGCCTTGTTTCCACTGGTTTCTCTGTTCAGCCAGTTCATGAGGGCCCAAGCCTGCAGATGCGTCTTAATTCTGGAGTCGATGCTCCCCTCTGTTCTTTTGTCTTTTGTACAGATGCTAGCCCACTGGCCCTGACTCCTCTGACCCTCACAATAAATTCTTTCTCAAGGACCCTGTCCTTTAGGGCAGTCTGTCTACTCTTGGTTAGGGTCTCCCAGTCCATCTCACCCTTTTTAACAACCTTCAGTCTCAAAAAAGTGAAGAAGGGAGCAAGGGGCCTTTGAACGAATGATGAATCCACAGAGACTCTTTCACATAGATAATTTTTGAATGTCTAACTCTGCCCAGCAGCCCAGCAGCATCTAAGGTTCATATGGCAATCAACATGTGTGCCTGACACAACTTAACCTGTTCATAGGATTGAGCCCAGGTCCTGATTCAGCCCAAATATCCTACTACAATTTCAGGGAATTCATGAATCCCTTGAGGTGGGGTTGCTGGATAAAATATAGATGCCCAGCTAAATTTGAATTTCAGAAGAACAATGAATAATTTTGAAGTATGTCAATGCAATATTTGAATGGATAATGTACAGATAATTATGCATTTTTTGTGGCAAGAAGTCCAAACAGCCTCAAAAGTTCTGTGTCTAAGAACTTCTGATGAAGGATTTGCTGAAGGAACTGATGTGTTTGAGTGACTCAGGATGAGTGGTTAAAACTATTGCATGCAACATATTTGTCTTAAAAAACTATTTGTTGTAGGTGGAGGGTATAGCTCAGTGGTAGAGTCCATATTTAGCATGCATGAGGTCTGGGGTTCAATTCCCAGTACCTTCTTAAAAAAATACCCAAACAACTACTTGTTGTTTATGCAAAATTAAAATGTAAGTGGGTATTTGTCAGTTGTTTTTTTTTTTACTTGCTAAATCTGGCAACCCTACTTTGAGGCCAACACAAGTTTCTCAGGTTCATGAATTACAGAGTAAGAGCTGGTACAGACTGATAACAGGACTGTGTGTGTTTCCTTCTTTCGTACCAAACTATTTAACCATTTAACATTGAAATACCAGGGTGAACTAGAAGAACTCCTAATCCTTTTAGCTCTAAATGTCAGCACATTACTATTACCACTGTTATCAGGTTTTACATTGGTTATAGAGTGACTATCAGCTTGACACTGTCATCAATTACGGCCAGTCATTTCCTTGTTAAATTCCTAGAGCATAAAGACGTTGTATTAAGTTCTTGAAATCGCAGACACGGAAAATTAAATTACATAAGTAGCAGATGTTCAGGCTGAGGTTATAAAAGGGAGTTGAAACAAGTACTCTCAATTGTTCAACAGTCTTCCGAGGCTGTGACTAGAACTAGGCGAAAAAACTGAAATCTTCATTTCTGTTTTACCACGAAGTGATATCATACCCACCATTTAGTCCTTTTTCTCTCACCACTATTTGTAATTGCATAATCAGGCTAACCTTCCTACCAAATTCTTCTAGAGCAGTTCTTTTTCTTTTTTTTCTTTTTTTTTTTTCTTTAATTCAGTTTGGAAAAAGAAACAGTGAAAATGGTTACACAACACAAGTCTCCCTTCCCTCTTGATCTTTAGTTCCTAGGCCGAAGGTTCCCAGTTTGGCTTATGGGCCGGAGTCTAAGGAAGGGTTTCCAGAGTAACGTGAATTTCCTGAATGCATAATTTTCCATAGAGTGATAATTGTGCATCCAAACTTCTACCTGAGCCTCGAAAGGGTCCGGCCTCAGAACTCCCGAGGCAGGACTGGCTGACAGGAATGATGCGCCTGGTGACTCGGAACGGAATGGTAAAAACCTGTTAGTAACCCGTCCCAGCGAGAAAAGTTTCCCCCATCCACCCAACTCGGGCCCCCTAGGAAAGTAGGTTCTCCGTGGGCGGGATCACGGCTCTTTTCTTCCCAAGTTTCTCGCCTGCCGCATTCCTTCCCTCCAGCGCGTCGGCGTGCGCTGACGTCATAACGCCGCACACGTAGTCCCGCCCCTGCAGAGATCGGCGCTGGGACGGACCCGGGGTGCTCTCAGACCTGGAATGTGAGGCCTCGGCCCCGCTGACCTCGGCTCCCTGCGCGCTCTCCGCCCCGGCCTGCGCTCGCTGCCGCCGTCCCTAGCTCGCCCGGAGGAGCCAGGGCGGCCGCGCCCTTCTGCCGTGTGCCCGCGTGGCCGCCACCGCCCCTCCGAATCCTCCGGGGCCGCAGAGGAGTTCGCTACGGAGGGAGGCGGGGGCCTTCGGGAGGAGGAGGAGGAGGAGGCGGAGGAGGCGGAGGAGGAGGGAAGGAAGATGGCGGCCGTGGAACTAGAGTGGATCCCAGAGACTCTCTATAACACCGCCATCTCCGCTGTCGTGGACAACTACATCCGCTCCCGCCGAGACATCCGCTCCTTGCCCGAGAACATCCAGTTCGATGTTTACTACAAGGTACGGCCCGTGGGCCTCCTCTCCGCCCTCCTGTCGCAACCCCTGGGGCCGCACCCCCTTCCACGTCCGCGAACCCCCGCTGTTAACCCCTCACCCCTCGTAGCAGGGTCGCCTCCCGAGACGTCTGGGGGCGGTGTCGGGGTGTCCAGTATAGAAACATCCCGTCTGGTATACTCTCAAGCTGTTGGGCCTTGATCGATAACCTCTGCCTAATGAGTCTACCCTAACCCTTTTGGTGTTCCCTCTTACGTTGGGGCCCCTTTGGGTAGGCCTTTTGCGTGAACTTCCTCTGTTGCGCCCTTGTCCCACTTACTCCTTCCCTAGTAGCCTATTTCTTCGGGGTATTTTCTGCCCTCTCTTCCCAATTAAGTGTTAGCATCAACTGGACTTTTTGCTTTGCTCTTTTCCCCTCCTTCCTACTTTTCTCTTCTCGCTACCGTACTTCCCAAATATCTTTTTCTGCTTCGTGTTCCTTCTTTTCTCCTTTCTCTTCCTAGTTGGGAAGGAATTGAGGAGTTATTGGAAGTAGCCTTGTGCGTTATTCGCATATGCAGTAATGCTTTGGTTTTTGTTGATACTTGGGCTTGAATGGGAGTTTTTGTTAGTATGGGAGTGGTGATCAACCACTCGAAAGGAAGGGTGGAAGTCGTTCCTAAAAGAAAAAAAAAATTTAGGATTTAAATTATGTTCCTGTATTTGAAAGTTGTAATCTTGCAGCATTCCTAAATCCCTGAACAAAAAGTCTCCAAGTCACTCTCCAGGGAATTTCAAGGATAAGTGTATTTAGACGTGGACAGTTTTGCAGTGTTTAGAGAGGGAGGAGAACTTTATGGACTCGGAGCCTCCCTTTTCCTCTCCCCCATATTTGAATGTTGAACAGTGGACTTATTATTCACTTCTCTTCGCCTTGAATCGGCGTGGATAACTTCTGTTCTCCAGTAGTAACCCATGCAAAAGTTGACCAGAAGTAAAATATAATTTGTTTTTTTTAGTTCTGAATACTTCATCTTGATTTGTAATTTGGGTGGAACATTGTAAACTGATATTTAACAGATGTGTATGTTCTTGTATATGTAGGGTGTTTTATGGCAGTTGCTTCATTGGGAAGATTGCCGGCTTTCTCCACCCCCGAATATTTTTTCAGAAAGCAGCTGGCTTGGTGCATTCTACTAAATCCAGCTGCTCTACACCAGTCTGACAATTAAATTTTTTTCCCTTAGGTATTTGGAGAATATTCATTTTGGCCATTTATATTATTAACTTGGGGGAAGGGAAGGTTGGAGAATAATCTCCCTTCATTCCAAATCCCTTTGATACATTGACTTACTTTTGTGTCTAAGGAAATTTTGTATATTTGAGATTCATTCCTCCCAGGAAGGATGAGTTGAATTTCTTTCTCAGCCTGGGAAATTGCAGCTTTGTGTGTTTGCTAACCCTATCCATTTAAGTAATCTTTTACACTTTTTAGAGAAAATCATTGGGAATTTAATCAAAGTACATTTGGCAATTGAATCCCCAGAAAGTACTTAGATATCTTTTAGTAACTTTTGCTTCTAATTGAAGCTTTTCACTTGAAGATTATTATTAGTGAGTCTGAACATATGGTGCTTTTGTCACATTTTCTGTTTCAGAGTCCACAAAGCTTTAATATGGCTTCTTTTTTGGTACACTGTTACTCCTTGATAGTTGTATGTCAGGAATATGGCACTGTGCTAAGGTGAAGGAAGGTATTTAACATGTGCCTGAAACTGTAAATGATTTTACACAGTTATCTTGTTTATTCCAATTAAACTGTGAAGTGGGGTATAACCCTGTTTTATAGGTGAGAAAGTTAAATAATTTAAGTCAAGGTCTCATACCTAGTATTTGGTTCCTGTGTACCTTGCTTTCTTGCTTAGAAAGATTTTGCATCTTGAGTTGGTAAGTTATTTTAATGAAAGACATTATAGAACTAATTTTTTATTTGATTTTGTCAAAGTAGGTAAAGTGAAAGTCAATCCCTGGACCTCAGTTTTTCGTCTAATAAAAATGTAAGAAGGAATTTTTCTTGCTTTTAAGCATTGTTTCACCACATAAATGTAAGATACTTCTTAAACATTTTAATACATATGAATATGTGATACTCATTTCTTGCCCAATTTGTGAAAATTTTAAGAGGCTTATTGTTTATAGTTTCTAATTTTCTCCAGTTTAGAGCCAGGGAGAAACTCTTAATCAGATCCTTCCAGCTGTCCCAACTTTTCATCAGTAGGTATAGTCAAAGATAAAAGTATAGTGTTTGTGCCATTAAAAATTGCCCCATCTCGATTCACCATAGTCCAGTGTCACTATGTTAATTTTTGCCAGTAGCTTCAGGTGAAGGCACAGTCATAAAACTTAAGGAGATGGGGTTATGGAATGCATGGGAGGTGAAGAAGTAGGCATGCTGACTGCTCCCTAAGAAGGGAAGGGAGAGAGGTATTGGTATGTAGAAAGGGTAAAATGTGAAAGTTTTTATTGTTGTTTAAGAATGAAAGATGTTAGAATATATTTATTGGCTAAATGACAGAAACCAAAACAGAATGAGAGGTTGAGTATACATGAGATGGGAAATAAATTATGGGGCAGAGTCCCTGAGTAGGAGCATTAATTAATGAGCCTTGTCCCTTTCTTCACCATGAAATTAAGTTATCAGTCTTAAATTGGAGTTGGGGAAAGAATACTTCTTCCCTCTAAGATCAGATGGAAGGAGTTAAAAGACATAAAAGACATACCATAGGTAAATTTGTAAAGAATGGTTGTTAGAAATTAGGAGGTAAGATCATCTGCTGAGAGTAAGGGGTAGGAGTGGTGACTTTTGGGTAGAAGGCTAAACAGAAGTTGGAAATGGCTGCTCAGGTATATAGACAAAGGGAAGCTCACTAAAAATATGTTTTTATAAAATTGACAGGAGAAACAGATGGTTCAATAAAGCAGCACCCTACAGAATGTCTTGGAATCAGAATGATTTTTGTCCAAGGGCATTCAACGGTGTAGGTATAGAAGTGGATTAAGTGAATGGAAACAATTGTAAAGTTGTATGCCAAGTGAAAGCAAGTGGAGTGAAGGGCTGGGTTCTTCAAAAGAATGAAGTTTATGATCATTTCTTTGTATTGTAACTGCTGAATGGTCTGTTTTGTGTCCTCTTCCAATAACAGAGTTTGCCATAGAGTTAAGTTTTGACCAGGTGAAGTTTTTCAGTAATGTGTTATATTTAGTTTGGGGTTTTAAAAAATTGTTACAAGTCTCATGCTCAAAAACCATAAATTAATACCTGATTTAGTATTGAGCTGAATTAATTTTTTCTTTTTCTGTGTTTATTCCTAATTCTTATATACGCCTCAACTATTATTCTGATAGTCTTTTTAAATTGGCTGGTAACAAGTTGAAAAAAAATTCTTGCAACATATTTGACAGCCAGAGAGTTAATACTCTCTTCACATAAAAAAAACTCTTAGGATTGATAAACTGAGAGCAAAAGCTTCAGGAGAGGGTAGGGCATAAAAGAACACAAATAGCCAACCATACCGTGTGTCTGGATGTGAAGATAATGTTATAAATATGTCAATTCATTTCAGTTTGAGCTGTGAATTTATTACAACTTGAATCCAGAATCTCAGAGTTTCACTGGGTATAGGAAACTGGTTAAATATGAAGTGTATATGGAGGAATTAATTACATGAAAATAAATGAGCCAAGAAAAATTTTAAGATGTACAATACTTAGGATAGTTGAGTATATTAGAAAGCTATGTATTTTCAAACAGTATAGTATTGGCACAAGAATAGCAGAGGGAAAATGATTTATAGAACGTATTAGACAGTATAGATAGAAACCAATGCATATTTAAGAATTTGTTGGGGGAGTATATAGCTCAAGTGGTAGAGTGCATGTGTGGCATGCAGGAGGTCCTGGGTTCAATCCCCAGCACCTCCTCTAAAAATAAATAAAAAATAAACCTATTCCTCCCCCCTTAAAAAAAAAGCCCTAAATTAAAAAATTTATTATATAATAAAGTTATGAGACAGTGCTGTATTTTAAATAAATGGAGGGAAAATTGACCTCTACTTCACACTATAAACCAAAATGAATTTCAGGTGAATTAAAGATTTAAGTATGACAAATGAAATCATAGAAGTATCAGAATGAATTATTGGGTCAGTATCTTGCAGTGGGAAATGACTGAAATTGTTCTTTAAAGAAATTATTTTTAGGGTAATTTACAAATTTTAAAAATGTCAAACATTATACAAATAAATAATGTGAAAGGTGAAGTCCTCTGTTACTCATCTTGCCAGCACTGTGATGCCATCTTGGCTTAGAGAAGGCTTTTCAAAGCATGAAACCAAAAACCAGCAGGAAAAAAGAAATCGATGTTTTCAAATACATTAAAAAGTAGGGAAAAAGTTATAAGCATGTTTTTAAAAAGACTGTGCAAATGGCAACATTTGTTAGGTAAGGGGTGAATTTCCTAATACAGAAAGATCTATTACTAATCAGTATGTAAAGGACAACCAGCTCATTTCTAGATGTGAACAGCTAGCTCATAGTGGAGGAAAATATGAATGGCCAGTAAACATCAAAAGGTGCTTAAATGAAATGCAATGTCAAGCTAAGTAAGTCATGAAAAAGAAAATCTGGAGGACTTACACCATCAAATATCAAACTGTAACAATTAAGATAATATGGTACTGGCACATGGGTAGACAAATAGACCAATGGAACAAAACGGAGAGTCCGGAAACAGACTTGACACACGTATACTGTCACCTGATTTATGATAAAAGTGACACAGCAGTACAGGGGAACGGAAGATCAAATCACTGGTATTGGTCAATTTATTAGGGGGAAAATTATCATGATCTTACCTTACATCATACAAAATTAACATTTTTGTGTAGATTGCTGATCTAAATGTGAAAAATAGTTTTTTAGGAAAAAAGTTTCACTATGTCTGCAAAGATTTATTAAATAGGATAGAA